TCAGAACTACTACCTTTGTTTCAAAAAGGAAACAAAAAGATTTAAACAAGATTTAGGATCTTGAAATTATGTTGAATAAATGAATAGGATTTTATTTTAGACAGTTTTGACAAACAACAATAAATAAAGCTACACTCACAACTACAGCTGCAATCAGAACTACAGCTACACTCTCAGAACTACAGCTCCCAGGATTCCATGCAGCTCTGTTGAAGGTCTCTGTCTTCCAGGCTACAACGACATGAAAACTGAACTGAAGGACTTCCTGCAGACGTTTGCAGCTGAAGGAAAGGTGGGTTCTAATAATGGGTCTGGGGGCGGGGCTCTACACCTGAGGAGCGGGTCCCTTGTTGTTTCTCAGGGTTTCCGGCTCGGGCTAACGCTAACGACCGACTGTGGCTCTCTCGTGGCAGGTCGTGACCTCTGACGACATCCGGCAGTTCTTCGAGCAGCAGAGCCGCAAAAGACGCCGAACAGATTCTGGACCTTTCTTCTGCTCCTGATCCATCCCGCTCACTTTTCACCCTTTCTCAGTTTTAAAGTTTTTTCTGTGAGATGTTTTAATGTCAAATATCTCCTAGTTTTATGGTTGTTTTTTTTTTCTTTGTAAGAATAAAGTTAAGCTGAGCAATAAACCTGGTTGTTGTGTATCAGGAGGAGCTGATTGGTCCGAAGCTGCAGCCACCATCCTCTCTGTGCTGATTATCAGTTAAAACCTTCCAGCTGGTTATGTGGCGTCTGTTAGCAGATCTAGAAGAACCTTCTCTAAGGACTGATTGGGTCTGGACCAGAACCTGGGAGGAATTCTTTAAAACTGGCTTAAAAAGGCTAAACTCTGAACACTCCGTATTTCAGAGGTAGAAAGACATCAGAAGTTCAGAAAGTTTCTTAAAACATATAAGAAATTCTGTTAGTATTAATAAAACCAGCATAAAAAGTTTTCATCAAACATATTAAACCAGTAACAGGTTTGACAAACATTAATAAAATAATTATTCTGGCTTCAGGATCTTAGTCATAGTTTTAGACCCACATTGATTTTAATTCAGTCAGCAAGTGACATTTACTTACCCTGAACTAACATCAGTCGGCTTAATACACTCATTAGTGATTAGATGGAGTTTATAAATGATTTTTTAAACTTTAATAAATTAT